CAGGAACATTTGGACCTGAGAGACCAGTTCAAAAGTCTTTGCCAAAAAGGGAAAGTTTGAAACACATCATTGGCTATCAAAGAAGAAACATACAATTTATAGTGGATTTGTTGGAGTCTGAGCTAGGCAACAGGCAGTTTGTGACTTTTATGGACTCATCTGACTCAATAGTAGTAGTAGCAATAGGTAACAAGGACTCACTCCGGAAATATTGTGACTATCTGTACTCCACACTACAAAGTTCCTCATTTGTATCACTATAGCCATTAATGGCAAAAGTTAATAATACTTCAGTAACATTAACCTGAGCCTGTAGTATTAAATCTTACTCTAAGGACTTGAGATAGGCGTGGACTGCTGGTTTGGGGATCTGTGCCTGTTTGTTTAGTGGTCAAACAGGGCTCTAGCACTTCAAAGCCCCGCCTCCTCTGGTGGGTGCCCACTCAGAGGCAGCGCCTGGAGGAGGTGGGGCAGGGAAGGCCGACTGCTGCCTCCAAGTGGGCGCCTGTTGGAGGAGGTGAGGCTTTGAAGTGTCAAACACCTGTTCATTCAACAAACCAGGATGAACCGGTTCATGCCCATCTCTACGACAGAGTGGATATGTTTGCTTTATCTTTAGCTCCCAAGTGATGAAGGAAAGTTAAACATCTCAAGAGAATTAAATTTCCTACTTTCTGTGATGGGGTTAGAAAATGGAAAGATGGCTTTCTGGTTATATTTTGATACCAATATACTTTTAAAATGAAACTGTTAAGAAGTACTTACTTGCCACAAAACTTAAAACTCCTCTTCCTTCCGTCAGTTTTTACCAAAAAAATCTACAAATTCCCCAAAGCCTAATTATACATTCAAAACTAGATTTGATATTGAAGCACTGTGCATACCTGCACATTCCTCAGAAGCCCCCAAACACATCACTTACTGTGTTGAATCCACAAAAATTGTAAATCAAGGGCATCAAAACCAAGGATTGAACTTCATCTCTCATCTGACACTTAAAATATGAACATGGTACCATTGATCAACAAGTCATCAGATCATGGAAATGTGTGTCTTCCATGTCAGTGGGGATGTGCTGTGATAAGTGAATGCTTTAGGCAGAACTGATGTCTTGGATTTGAGGTTATATAACAAATGTAGCTCAAAGGGGATCAAGGAAAATAAGTTGCCCTGAAGCTTCAATATACTTCTTGTTTGGAGCTTGAAAGAGCTGCACGTGAATTGCTAGGGGGAAGCTTGTCTGTGTTTGCAACCTTTTTTTTAAAAAAGAAAAGAAAATAAATAAATGGAATGAAAAGACAAAAAAACCCACCACAAAACAAAACAAAAAAAACGAGGCAGAAAATTAAAGACTTTAAGAGAAAATGTATGAAATACGGCAAATTGACATCAATGCACTGAATGGTGTCAGAATGAAACTGAGTATAATGGATTTGCCATTCAGAAGCTCTACATTTTTATACCCATTTCCACTAGCTGAGACAAACAAATCTTATTCAGAGTATCTGCAAGCACAATTTATTATTGGTGTCAACAATACAGGGGTCTAAACACCTTTGTCAACAAGTTTAGCTGGGGAAAAGGAGTAATATGAATTTAAAACAAAATGTAGCAGTAAGGAATAAGTTGAGTGTTCTATTGGAGGAACAGGAAGCAGAAGAGAAGAACATGGACTAGGGAAATCTACCTTATGTTCAAAGAAAGGAAAAAGGGAATAAAGTATCTGAAAAGCAGAAGGGAAGTACAGGCCAGCCTGTGCCACCAGCCAAGGGTTCAATGGCCACTTGAGAGACTGCATTCCCTGTTTTACAAGAACAATGTTATGGCATCACACCATAACATTGTTCCTGTGAGACAGGTTTGGAAAGCTAAATAATGCCAGGGCCAATCTGTACTAAGAGAGGTCCACCAGTGAATACCAAGGACCTCCAGGTAGGGCAAGGAAAGAATTCTGCTTTAAACTCTGGATCATTGCTGCCAGCTAGAGTTCTTAGTACTCCTGGAAATGAACCAAATATCTGGCTCAGTATAAGGCAGGTGCCTGTGTTCCTAAGAAGAGAACTAGTCTTCTTCTAGAGTCAGGAGCCAGAGAAGGAGAAGCTGCAGGGAACTTGCTTCCTGCATTCCTGCCAGAAAGAAAATTCAGCCTCAACTGTCTATTGCTCTTGGGAATATACTTAGAGAAGGGGGTATTCGTATACAAATACCCCCGCACAGCTGGCAATAATGAGGGTCATGATTTTGCCGCTGATGTGAGCTTGTCAGACCTTCCTGTCATGCCTTTGTCTGCAATTGATTACCCACTGCTGGCAGGAGGCGGGATGACAAGTCTTTCTGCTAGGTTGGAGAGTGGCTAATCCATTGCAGAGAACAGTGCGATAGGAAGCCTCCGTGGAGCCAGCAGCAGCGGCAAAATGAGTGGATAGTCCAGCCCCATTGGGCCGGACCCTTGTTATTTCCACCTGTTCTTATTTGTATACGAATATCCCCATCTCTAGTATACATTTTATCTTTGGGTGTTTTTGTCTTATAAATAAATATTGGGGCATGATAGGTTAACATGATATAAGGTGGAAGTCGATATTTAAAAAAACAACTACGTGTTGCTAAAATCAGATTTATGGATAAAAGAAAATGTAAACTTCGAACAGTATGTCCCCAAGATTCTCTGTTGTAATTCACTTAGTTTCTAGGTATTTATCCCATATTCATTTATCAAGGTTGTTAATGTTCATAGATTGAGCCTAAGGCTTTTGAACCATGGATTGTTTGAGGACTATTCAGTTCAATTGAAACCATTATTGAAGAAATCCTTTGGCACCAAGGCATTTGAGCCTGAACTGTTATCACCATTGTAGTTCTTCAGTTTTTTAAATCACTGCTGAAAACTTTTAAGGCAAAGGACCTAACCTTGACTAGCCTCGGGCAAAATCTTCAGCTAGGCTTCCTCATCCTCAGATGGATTGACAGCCACAAAGAAGAAAAGACATAAGGCAGGTTTCAAAGACCGGCAAATTATCTCCGGAGCACAGTAACATGCAATAGAGGAAAGGTGAACACTGCTATCTAAATGGAGGCATTTAATTTCCTTTGTTCACCAAACAGCAATACAAAAACAGGTACAGAAAAGAAACTGCACAGTTTTATGAGAGCCACAGAAATTTTGGAGGGTAGCTGGCCTTTCAGTGGAAGCTGACAGAACATAAAGGTTGCTATTTTGCATACAGATTTCCATCAGAAAGAGAGAGAGAAAGAAGGGGGGGGGACTTGGACTCAAAACCCTCTGGTTCAGACTTCTCCCAAAGCCTGAAAACAATGTGTGGCTTCCCTAACCAGTAGGCATCTCACTTATGTCTAGAAATGTTTCATGAAGAAGACTTTACTAAGGAAATGGTTCGTAATGTGATGGCAAAATCTTCATTCTTGTAATTTGAGCCCACCGGCCCGGGATACTGTGAACTAAATACTACAAGATAGCAAGCAGAGCAAAGGCTTCTGCTTGTGATCCTGGAGAGAGCTACTGAGCAAAACCAAACAGGAGGATTTGGTCTGCTTGATGTAGTACCCCAAAGGATTTCGGTTTGCTTTTGGCAACCAACAATGCCTGACTTGTTCCAATTGACACTTCAAAAGGATTTGTTGTTTTTCTCAGCCCCCCTTTTTTCAACCAGATTCTCATTCTTACATGCAGGCTACCAGGCTGCTCTACTGCTCCCGTCCTCAAGACTTGCCTTCTTTGTACTGCAGCCTGGATTGCCGAGACTGTCCACATTTGTCCTCTTGTTTTTTCTCTCCACTATAGTTTTCAGCCAGCTACATACTATTAGGTACTCCCCACAGTTCCCCCAATAGCATGTGGGGATGGTTGTTGAGTGTGGGACCCCAATCCTGCTTAACCAGTTTCATCTATGGGGCTACACCTGGAACAAACCTCGAAAGGAATTTAATGTAATAGCAAAGCAGCATATAAATAATACAAATAAAATAAATAAATAACAATATATTTTCTACCCTTGCCATTGCTGAGACTTAGCATCATGGTAACCCATTATTAAAACCTTGACTTATCCCTGATATGTCCTGACATGAGAGTACGGTGACATATTACAATACACAATATGCTGTCAGGCAGCCAGTGCAGGCCTAAACTGCTTGTTAATGTACTTCCATCACTGTCAGCTTAAAGGAAGTGATTATTGCCCATAGCCTATGACATACAAGGGCATGGAAAACAGTCTAAATATAAAAATGGCACGCAGGGGACACATGATGGTGGTTAACTCTACACAATGCTCCACAGCACACGTGGGCAAAAGGTAGCTCCCAGGGAAATTTCTCCAATCCCGCCAAGACCCATGGATCTCCCCCTTTCTACCCAGAGTTTTAAAAAATGTCAATGGCAAAAATGTGTTTTTCTGCTCCTAGAGGTTTCCAGAAGTAGTGGTTTCACATAAAAGGGCCCAGACCCAACCTTCTCTTATTAAATTCAAAACCAGAAGTGAGCAGCCAAGCATCACCCGTTTTGCTTTTTTAATTTTTTGTGCCCATTTTGTGAAATTTTCAGGAAGTGGTGGGGGTCTCCCACAGGTACCGGGAGCAAACACCTGGCCCGTCAGCCTACCAAAGCTCTCCATCCTTGCTCTGCACCCTGTGGAACCTATGAATGACTTTCTCTGTTCATGTTAGCGAAGGGGCAGCTTGGAATGGGAAAAGAACTTAAACAAATGAGAGTGAACTACCAACCGAGCTACGCAAGTCTACTCAGAAGAACGTTCCACTGAGTTAAAGTTGGCTTCCAGAAGCGCATGTATAGGACTGCAATCTAACTGCATTCGTGTCTGACATTTAATGTGTAATGCTAAATAAAAGTATCTCAACTGTTACAAAAGCAAAATAATAATCTGAAAAACATTTTTGAATTTCCCACCCATAATAACCTCTCCAACTATGACCCATTAAATGATATCATGACAATTTATTGGGGTTGGAGTGAACTTTACCTTTCTTTGTCTTTGATGACTTGTTCAGCCATTAGCTTCTTAAATTCCATTAAACGCAACAAATCTCTTGCTTCCTGTTCTTGCCACTTGCGTTGCTTTTCAGCCCAGTACTTTTTCACCTAAGGATTTAAGAAAGGAGAAATGTAATAAGAAGAGGGAGAGAGGGAAGAGAGATTCCATCACTGGGTAAAGGCTATTTTGGTTTCTATAATAACGGCTTTATTTGCTCATAGCATATTGCCGATGACAGCAATTTAACTGTCCATGCCACATTTCAGAATGAAAACTGGCTTGAAGAATGGCTGGGACTGACTGTATTTGCTGCAGCATCCTCTTTTCCCCCATTCTTTGCATAAAATGAATTATAGAGAGCATGATGATTGCACAAATCAGGAAGGAAGCAAATTATCTTCAGTCCACGAGTTTCCCTATACTGTATATACCAAGAAGAAAAAGCAGCATTTATTTGCCAGTAAGAGTGAACTCCAAATGTAAGATGCTAATTCGAAATGCTAATACAAAAGTGTTAATGAAAGAGAGCTTAGGCCAGGCAAGGAAGTACAATAAACAGAATAATGGTCAACTCTATTTTTTCATTTCTCCTTTAAAAAAACACCACACAGTAGAATAGCTGAAAGCAGATGTCACAGGAGGTCCAGAAAGAAAAACTGGCAATGTTTGGACACTCTGATCAAAGCTAGGAGCAATGAAAGCAAACAGAACTGAAGTGTCAGTATCAGTCTACAAGAACATACATTGAAAATGCTCTTCCATATTTCATACTCGGGAGCTGGGCTGTGATGCTTATGGAAGGACATCTAACAACTGTGGATATGTTTGCTGAGAGCAAAGACTAATTAATAGGACAAGTATTTCCTTTGCTGTGAAGAAATGTCAGTTGATACTACATATAAACCAAAGGTTAATTGAATGGAAGCAACCGATTCTTCTCATGTATCAATGAAGGGGGGGGGGGGAGTCCAATATCCCCTCCCTTGATTCTTCTCATGTATCAATGAAGGGGGGGTAGTCCAATATCCCCTCCCTCTCCCAAAAAATCCTTCCTTCTCTCACACACAAAATGCCTCTTTTTCAAGTAAAGAAGTCAACCTCTTTGTGAATTTTATTTTGCTCTCTGTGGACTGCCACATTCTCAGCTAAACAATAATAATATGATGCATCACCATCATCATTATTACAGTATTATCATTTGTCCAATAAACTCAAGGTGACTGTGAAGACAGGAACAGTGGCCTTCAGGCCTCTGTCAATAGGCTATCTCATCTCTTCCTGGGACCCACTTAGATTCCCATTACAAAACCCACCCCCAGTACAGCTGGGGAGACTACATTAGACTATGATGTCTCAGAGTAACCAAGAGTCCAGGAAGACCCTGAACATCAGGAGACAGAAATACAGCTAGGAATGACAGAAAGGACAAATCATGTCAAAAATCTTGGGAACTGGGAAAGTCCATGAAAGGATGATAAAACGTCAGGAGGAGGAGGAGAAAGAGGGCTTGGAAGTCACAACAGAGGAGAAAAGCAAAACTAAAGAAGACAAGGTAGCTAGGTCTGTCAAGACTGGGGACTTCATAAGAGAAGAGGAGTGGGGAAAAGATGTCTTGAAGACATTGAAGAACGTTTCAAGATGGACTCCTGACAGCTAGACATTGAGATCCCAGAAAAACCTGAACCTCCCAGAGAGACGCATGGGCTGGGGTGTTAGTCCAGTTGAGGGTTCCTCAGGAAGATGCTAAGAGACAACTTAAACCACAGCCAACACACAAGCCCTCTCACTGGGGAGAGAAAAGAGGGGAAAATGTTGTTTAGCCCAAGAGGAATCTCCCAGGGAATCAGGAGTGTCCCAAGTAAAGCCCTGGAAAAACCCAAAGTAGACAACTCAAGAATCTCAACCCAGTACAAGTATGAGAGGATCAGGGATCAGTGGACTTGCTCTCAATGTGGAGTTATAAGTCATTGCAGCTGTGCCACCCCTTGTGCCAACCAACAAATACAATCGCACTGGCAAGCTCAGGAGGGAGCCTCTCTAGCAACTAGTGGGGTTAGTAACTCAGAGGGGGATGAACACAGACTTTGTACCTGAGCAGTGAAAGGAACTAAAGTAGCCTCATGTTTGTTGGATGTTGTTAATGTTACCCAGCCTTCTCCAAGTTTAATAAAATCTGCTTTGTCAAAAAGTTCCTTGACTTCTTCCATGGATCTTAGAATGATAGAGGGGAACCTGACCAACTTGATAGGGGTCAGTGGAGCTCATAGTAACATATAAGGGTCACCGCATCCCAATTTATCCTTATAACACCTCAGTAAAATAGAGTAGGTTAAAAAAGAAAGACTAGTCCAAGGTCATCCAATAATTTCATGTTTTGTCTGAGATTGGACCCTGATTTACTCATGTCCCAATCCAAGTCACTACACTAAATGGCTCTTCCTAGCTACTTTGGCTCATATCCTGTTTGCAATCATGCAACATAACCATATGCACACAGAGCAGGAAGTACATTTATGAGCATTGGTGCCTTCTGCAATGCAATTGCACCACATGAATGAACTGGCCACTACATCCATTGCTTAACACTGCACAGGGAACTTTTAAGTGGATATGAGTTTATGCAGCTCCTCTAATGTCAGAACCATCTGCTTGTTATGGCTGCAAATTCCACCAACCGGACAGTGGGCATCTTATTCATATTTAAATGAAAGAGGTACTAAAGGACAGGTAAAATTATAGTACCTTCTGTTTCCTCAGGTTAATGGCAAGAGATGAATAAATATGGCTACTTTCTCTAAGAAGGAAATACATATTACCTGTGAGATTATGTTCAATGAGGTCATCTGTAGGTTTGTTTCTATGTACACAAATTCTCTGGATGCTTCTACACAACTGAAAAACAACTCACACACTCAAACAAAATAATTCCAACAGCAGACAGATATAATTCAAACTGTGTTGCTGTATTTATTCCAGCATGGCCCTGTGGAAGCCAGTTGCTTATATGTGGCTGTTAAAGATCTTTTGCTAGGAGTTCTACCCAAAACTGAGAGCTATCCCATGTAAGCCATCAAGTGCTAAATGCCCCTGTGAGCTACGTAATTCTCAGGAAGGCCATCTGATCTTGAGGAAACTCCTACTGACAAGGAGACATCCCCTGGGACTGAGCACTTCTTATCAATTTCAGTAGGTGGGCCTTCACCTTTTCTCAATGTTGTTCTTACAGGCTGGGAAGAGGGATCTAGCATCCTTGTCTGAGTCTGGAGCCACCAATCCTCCATCTGCGGTACCATCTCTTGCATTCTTGAGGGCTCAGGATCAACCAGCAGCAGCTAGATTTTTCACCTTCTCAGGGTCATGGGACACAAAATGCCTCCTTGCCGGAAGAGTCATCTGATAGGAACAGGCTTCTACTTGTGTAACTTCCTATTGCCCCCTTCCACTGCAACTTGCTCCAGAAGCTCTTCTGAACACTAAACAGATTTCAGGGGGTGCCTGGGAGGGATTGCAGGGAGAAGAGGAATCTGATTCACCAGCCTGTCCTTTCTCCTGACAAGCAGACATCCATTTATACACCCCCTGTCTCTCAATTCTCTTGTCCAATATGTTCTGGAAAACAGTGATGGATTGTAGCTGCAGTGATAAGGAGACACAAGAGCCTGGAAATAAGGCATTATAATTAACAACATGCCCTGTCATGCCTTGTTCTTGTCGACAATGATGACATAACATCTGAAATCCTGTTGTACAACTTTATGCCACACAATGAGAATGATGTTGTCAGCCATGGCTGTGCTTCAACTTGTTGGGTACAATAAAATACTTCTACAGCCCTTCCCCTCCCCCATGCAAGGTTTTGTGGATCCCCAGGGATCAATTTCATCCTGAGGCATGAAACCTGGAAGTTGTGGAATGGGAGGGGGGACATTTAAAAGCTAGAAAATCATCACTCCAACTAATGGCAGTGATTATCTGGCTTTAAATCCTTCTATGTCCTGTTCCACAGCCCTTGAAGTCTGCCCTAGGACAAAGGGGACCCCTAGGAATCCCTTAAATCAGGGGGGGAGGGGTTATGAAACTTTTTGCTTCCCCAAAATAGCTGTGACAGGGCCATGATAGATGACATCATCCTTGTTGGACAGTGTAAAATTGTCCAACAGGATTTCAGCCAGCAACATTCCATTTGCAAACAGTATAACTTTTTCCAGTATAATGATTAAGGTTTATTACTTAAACTTTTTCTATTACTTTGGAGGGACCTGGAAACGTTTTGCTGGGCCATTTTGAAAGGCTGCCCTAACCAAATTATTTTATTTTCTAGATGGATTTTTGCACCTCAAAAAAAGGAATTAAAATGTAGTTAAAATGTAATGAGTAGTGGAACAAATATCTAACATTTTTGGGGACACTAACAATAATAATGTATGCAGGGGAGGGTATTTTCCAAACTGTGGAATAAAGTGACTTGGACCCAACAGGGCCCTTCCGAAAGGGTTAAAATGAGAACTACAGGATGGGATAGAACACATTTCTGCCCAACCTTATGTACATAACTGATCGTTTTACAAGCTGAGATTTCTCCCCAGAAGGAAATGTTCGAACATAAGCAGAGTATTCCATTGCCATGTTCAGTATAGTAGTACAGTAGTTCACTTCCTTCCAAAGAACAAACACTTATTGAACAGTTCTGGACACCATACTTTAGAAGGATGCCAACAAACTGGAACAAGTTCAGAGGAGGGCAACAAGGATGATCAGGGGACTGGAAACCTTGTCCTTTGAGGAAAGAACTGAAAGAACTGGGCATGTTTAGCCTTGAGAAAAGAAGAGTGAAGGGAGAGAGGATAGCACTTTCCAAATACTTGAAAGACTGTCATACAAAGGAGGGGCAGGATGTGTTCTCAGTCATCACAGAGTACAGGACACACAATAATGGGCTCAGGTTGCAAGATGTCAGATTTCAGTTGAATATCAGCAAAAACGTCCTGTTAGAACAGTGCAGTAATTGCCTTGAGAAGAGGCAAGTGCTCCAGTGTTAAAGGCACTGAAGAGAAAATTAGACAATCATCTGTCAGATACACTTTGATTTGTATTCCTGCACTGAGCA